AGCCTAGCGGCTGAGAGCGTGGGGACAGCAGGACCACCCTGTGGTCACCAACTGTCCAGTTGTCCAGTGCCGGGGCCAGGGCACAGGAGCAGGAGCAGGAAAGGCCCACCCTGTCCCGGGAGGGAAGCTCCAATCTGAGGACCCTCTTCCTCCCACTTCCGGCCCGAGAGGCCAGCTCGGTGACTCAGAAACTTCAGGCTAAGCAGGGACCCAGGCCCCTCCCTCCTCGGGTCCAGCCCAGGCCAGAATCCCCGTCCTGCATACTCTCCCCTGTCTCCCCCTCAGTCCCCGTTCCCCGCAGACACAGAGCCCAGTGTCCAGGATATGGGCCCTGGGAAGGTCTGCTCGGGGACAGGAGACGGGAAGAGTCAAGGTCACAGGTGGGGGGCGTTTCCTCAAGCCCCGGCAGCTCAGACAGGAACGGTGCCGCGGGGTCACTTCCCCTGGAAGCATGCTGGGTGGGGGGAATGCAGCCACCGTGCCCCCACACCCCATCCAGGCCGCCCAGGAGGGCAGTGGGCTTCCGTCCCCATCCACAAAAACAGGCCAAAAAGTGAGGCCCCTGGATTCGATGGTCCCGTCACCCAGCAGCCCCACTGGACCAGAGGCCATTCCTGAGGCCGGAAGGGCCCAGCCGGGGTCCTCTGTGCCCCCAGCCCCGGCCAGCCCAGCCGGCCACGCGGTCTCTCTGCCCAACCTCTGCCTCCTCAGCCACCGGTGCCCAGGTCACCTCTTTGAGCCAAAGGCCCTGAGCTCATGGGCGTAACAGGTTCGTTAAACAGGCAGCGGTGCTGCCAGCGAGGGAAGCTGGAAACTGGGGGAAGAAGAGGCCTGGAGGGCGCTGAGACCTTCCCCTCTGCCTGGGGCCACCAGGTCCGCAGGAACCGGCCGGGCCCAGCTCCGGGCACGGGGCCAGGTGGAGGCTCACGCACTCGCTCAGCGGTGCCCAGTCAGCCCGAGGGCACTGAGGCCGTCAGTCAAGTGACACCGGTCCGGGGATGAGACGCGGAGATCCCAGGACAGGTGTCCGTGTCGGCTCTCCGACCAGCCCCCAGCCCAGCCGGGCTCACCTTACTGGGGGGGCCAAGTCTTCAGCTCCAAACCCCAGCAGGTGGGAACCCTGAACCCCGGCCACGTGCACGCGGCCCACCCCGCCCCGGGACGGAGTGGAGGGTTACGGCGGCTGCTGATGTCACCGTGGGGGGGACCCTCCTTCGGCCACTAAGGGAGATGCTTTCCTCATCCAGTGTGGACAGGAGACTCAGAGAAGGATGGCGGCTTGGCCGGAAGTGGCCGGGTGGGAACCGAACCAGAGTACGGGCATGGTGAGTCATGTGACCTGTCACCCAGAGGAGCCCCGGGGAGGAATGGCTTTCGGAGAAGTGAGGCAGGATGCAGACGGGCTTTGAGGAAGTTGGAGACGGTGCCCGGGGCCCGAGCGGTGGTGGCGGGGGCTCCACCCACGGCTGCTGAGAAGCCAGGCGGGCTCTGAGCGAGGAGGGGACATGCGGACACAGAGGACCCTGAGAGGGGGCTTGTGGGAAGACCAGGGGCTGGACGGGGGTAGGGGGGAGGGACAGAAAAAGATAGACATTGCAGCAATTAATTAATGTGATGGAAACCCAGGGAATGAGGCGAGCAGGGGTACCCGTGGCAGGAACGAGGTGCTGTGAGGGGGGCTTTCAGGGAAGGGAAGGGGGTGGCTGAGGCATTTGGGAAGTGGCGGCTGGAGGAGGCACAGGCCAGAGGGAGCAGCCGCAGCCTGAGCCTGGATGAGGGAATGGGGGTCAGAGGAGGGGAGGCCAGAGAGCCAGCCTGGGGACCCGAGAGGAGCCCTGCCAGGCGTTGGAGAGGTGGGGGTGAGGTCCAGAAGAGGGGGACAACGCTGTCATACATGGGACAGATGAGCAGGACTCTGGAGGTGGGGCGGGGCCTGGCCCATTGCAGGAAGGGGGAAGCAGGCGTGTGCACGGGAGGGAGGAGCAG